GTGAAGTCGGAGCTGCAGAAGAGACATACGTGCACTGACCTGGGTGAGCTGCACAGTTACCTTGGCTTGCAGATCACCCGGGACCGAGCACGCCGCACCATCACACTGACTCAGTCACACATGGTGCAGCAGGTCCTTCAGTGCTTCGGCTTCACCTGGTCCTCGCCACAGTCCACTCCTCTGGCTACAGGTCACTCGCTCTCAGCTCCACCTTTGGACGAGTCCGTAGAGCCGAGTGGTCATTACTCAGAGCTAGTAGGCTGCCTCATGTACCTGATGACCTGCACTCCTCCAGACCTTGCATACCCTCTTGGCCTTCTAGCCCGATACGTGGCTCCTGGTCGGCACCGAAAGGTGCACATGGATGCTGCAAAGAGGGTATTGTGCTACTTGTGTAGTACATCGGGCATGGGGCTCGTGCTTGGAGGGCGGAGAGACGTGGTCCTCACTGGGCACTCAGACGCGTCTTGGGTTGACGACCAGGCTACGCAGCGGTCGTCACAGGGATACTCACTCTTCTTCTGTTCTCGCCTCCATTTGTGAGGCTGAGATCTACGCCACAGCCATGGCTGCACATGAGTTACGCTGGCTTACCTACCTGCTGACTGACCTGGGAGAGAGGCCTCGTTCTCCTCCAGTTCTGTACGTCGACAACAAGGCCGCCATTGCCTTGTGTCAGGAGCACAGAACGAAGCACATCGCTCTGTGTTACTTCCTGGCTCGAGAGTTGCAGAAGCGAGGTCAGCTTCGTCTTGCTCACGTGGCCACTCGGGCCAACACTGCTGATATCTTCACCAAGGCTCTTCCGTCTGGTGATCATCAGTGCTTTTGTACTTTGTTGGGCCTTGTGCCTATGCGTCCGCACTTGCTGTAGACTTGCCTGTACTGTGGTCTCTCTCTATATATATATGTATGTATATATATACCTGCATGCTTGCTCTTGCTAGGTAGTGATCACTGTTCTGTTGTTGTTGCATATATACCTCTGCATGTGAACTGGCCTTGTGGCCCCTTGCTTGTGCTCAGAGTGTGTGGTGACGTTGTGATCCACCCTGAGCTTGCTTTGTTTCTCTTGACTGGTCTTGTGACCCCTTGTTCTCCCCCACTTTGCCTATGGGGGTGTGTAAAACTATATCGATTATATTTGTGTAGGCTGTAGTGGGGTAGCCAATATGGGGTACATAACTTTTAGGGTTTCATATTTGTACCCAACTCTGTTCTAGTTCAATCATTCCTGTCTCTAGTTTCTGACACACCTACCGATCACATCAAAGAGCTTCATCTTGCCAAGCTTATTCCAACCCGACTAGAACGAGAATTTCACATGATGAGTCTTCACATGTGGCAAATGACAAGATGATGGGGGTATTTCTTTGGCACTCGAGAAACATAAGATTTCAGGCTGGTCAAGCAAACAACAGAGGCTGGTAATCAACACAGCCAGCCAATAGCTTCCAAGGAGCACATTTGAATCACAATTACCAAGCACGCTTTTACGACATTCGAGAGGCAAAAGATTTGAAGCTGGTCATGCAAGCAACTAAGGCTGCAAAGCGATGTGATCAACACAGCCAGCCCAAAACTATAAAGGAGTACGTTTGAATCACAAACCAAAACAAAACGAAAAGAAAAGAAAAGAAAAATTCTAGAAGGCTTGCCACAACTCTGATACCCTGGGTTTGCCCCATTGTTGGTCTGCGTTTCAGGGGCCTCAAGAGCCAGTGGGCTTGCGTACCGTACCGTGTGCCTGCACTTAGTGGGCATGCGTACAGTACCCTGGGACTGCTCTGAGCGTACTGTATCTTGGGCCTGCTCTTAGCGTACGGTACCCTGGGGCTGCTCTTAGAGTGCCTACTCTTAGCATACAGTACCTTGGGACAGCTCTTAGCGGGTCTGCTCTGAGCGTACGGTACCTTGGGGCTCTCTAAGCGGGTCTGCTCTTAACGTACGGTACCTTGGGACTCTCTTAGCGGGTCTGCTCTCAGCGTACGGTACCTTGGGACTCTCTTAGTGGGTCTGCTCTTAGCGTACGGTACCTTGGGACTCTTTTAGCGGGTCTGCTCTTAGCGTACGGTACCTCGGGAATGCTCTGAGTGGGCTTGCTGGTAGCGCTCTTGTCGCCAGCGGTAGGGTTGGGACTCGGCACCATACGTACTGCCTCTGAACCTGCGAACACACGCTCGAGCAACGACATGTAAGGGAGGAGGGACGGGGATGGAAAGACATTGTTTGAGCTCTAAAGTAGCTGCAGCACCGGCGGCACCAGCGGCACCATACGTACTGCCTCTGAACCTGCGGACACACACACGAGCACTGCTAGTGTAACGACATGCAAGGGAGTTGAGGTAAGAAAAATAGTGTTTGAGCTCTAGAGTCTTAAGTATGAGCAGCACCAGCAACATGGCTAAACGTAAGGATATGCATTTGACGAGCGGCGGAAGGAGCGAGAGAAAGAGAACGAGCTTGAGAAAGGGAACGAGAGCGAGAGAGAGGGAATACGGTTAGAGAAGGTGGGCTTACAACAGAGCAGGGCGAGAATCACACAAGAAGCCACGCTGAGAGCTGGAAGCCGCATCATGATTGCGCGAAGCGAAGCAGGAGTGATCGCCCTCGAGTATGATTGCGCGAAGAACGGCTAGAATTCGTTAGGGTACCGGGATCTGAGACAGGTAAGACTGTACCGGGAGCTCAAACTAATTCTTCGCGGGGACTTTGTATACCCAATGACTTTGTAATCTCGTCCCGACGCCGCTGTGCGAGCATCGTGGCCGCATGTCGGCCTTTCAGTGGGAAGAACGAGACAGCTCCGCACCGTGCTCCCAGCGGCGCCACGCAGTGCAACCAAACCGATGCCATCGCGATATTGCTATTCGCCGGTTCACACGATGGTGATTCGTCAACGAAACGCGAACGCGCTCCCTGTCGTCGAAGCCTGAAAGTGCATCGCACCCCGTGCCATTTCTCCCCTCCCACCCACCCACCCTCAAGCGATTACCCATGCAATGCAAACCAGTGGTGCTGTGTGATTCTAGCAACCGAAGTCGTCTTGTCAGGTGATAACAAAATCGCCACCGCAAGGATGCCGCACAGAATCCAAGCTCTTGTATAATATTTTATACAGCGTTGATGCGCGCGATTCGCGGGGTTTCTAATAGGCACGCCCTGGGCGCAATGATGAAGTGGAGTTCTGAAAGCACCCACTGCTACCCAATCCCTAGGCCCGCCTCGCGAGTTAATTAGGTGACCTGTGGCACCCCCTGCCACCCAATCGCTAGGCCCGCCTCGCGAGTTACGTGATCTATGGCACCCCCTGCCACCCAACCCTTGGAGCGGCGATTGGGCGGTAGCAGTATGTATAGTGTACACCATTATGGTGACAAGAGATCAAAACCGAGGCTGTATTATAACATTATCTATCAACACGTTACAAGGACTACCGAATGATTTCAGACCAAAATGGACTGATTTTCTGATGGCTTTTGTCTCTATTTTTTTTAACTTCCTAACTTTTTATGTATAATTATCATACAAAATTATAATGTGCTACTCTAATTTTCTAACCAATCTAGATTCTCTGGTCTGAACTCCCAGGCCACTACCGCATGCTGGTCCGAAACCAAAACATTCTTGTACTAGCGTGCAATAAACACTCTGCAGAAGTTTACCGTAAACCCTCGGATATAAGACCCGGGGGTATTATGCTATGCACACAAAAAAAGGGGGGGTCTAAATAAATGGCACATAAATTATAAGACACGGATCTTTACAAAATGTCTTTTGTAAGACACATATTTTTGAGCCCGAACTAGTGAAAGGGAAGTGTTTCGTTTATAGCACCTCAAAAAAATATGCGAAACTGTCTCCACGAGGGTCCAACCCACGTCAACAAGATTTCTAGTTGGGAGCCTACTCCCATTGGTCACAAAACCTGATTGGTGGCCACATCAGCGAGAAGTACACCGTGTGATGGGCCCAGCGCACAGCGACGCCTCGGCCTTCACACCCCATGCACGCTTCGTGCGAGCTGCACGGTCCTGGTTAGGGCGTCCTCTACACCCAGTTGCTGCCACGTCCTTGTTTGAGTAGGTTGTTGTTAATTTCTCCCTCCAGTTTCTTCTCACATTTCCTTGCTCGACTGACTAGAGTACAAAGATGGCTATCCGTTGCATTTTGAGGCCTCATCGTAGCTAGCAGCGCGTGATTCCCCCTCTAGCCGCCATGGTGACGTCCCCGGATGCTGGAACGTCGGCCCCTCGACGCCGGCGCCGCCAGAAAGTTTGTGAACCTACTGTTCCTAGGCCATCGCCACGACCCGTCCTGCCAACGCCTAGTCCCTCTACCAGCGAGTCGGCAGATAAGGAGCGTAGCGGGAGCCCACGCCGTTCGTTTCCGCAAGTGAAGGTTCCTGTCTTTCCAGAATCAAAGCGACCGCGTGGTCAGGAGTGGGAGCATGACGAAGAGACACCATCTCCGAGGCGCAAAATGACGAAGAAAGCGCGCAAAGCTTACACAGTCAACGAGAAGATGTACTGGCTGAAGATGCTAGACGCGCAGCCTGATTTGGGCGTTCGGGCTTTGGCGAGGCTCGCCAATGTCCAGCCGAAGCAGATCCGCGAGTGGCGCAAGTTCAGGGAGCGCCTCGAAGTAGCGGCGGGTTGTCGCCAACGCCTCGGTGGTGCGGGACGAAAGCCCAAGTGGCCGCAGATGGAGGTCGCGGTCTACCGCCGGTTGCTTTCGCACCGTGGGAGAGGACTTCCGGTTTTCGTAAGCCTCCTGCAGAGTTGGGCGACTACCTACATGAAGAATCGCCATCCCCTGGAGAAGTGGCGGTCATCCCACCATTGGACAAAGAGTTTCCGCATGCGGTGGTCCTTGGCCCAGTGCGTGAAGACGAAGATCGGGCAGAAACTTGCTGCTGGTAAGAAATCTCAATCATTCGCGTCATCCCGTACACAGATGTATCGTCGTACCGTAGCTCCCTGTTCTGACTCACCCTTAACATGTGCGATGCAGATTGCAAGAAGAGGTGCGAGGCCTTCTGGGAGTTTGTGAGGCAGATGCGGGTGCTCAACAACTACCTCCTCAACCTGATCGTGAACGCGGATCAGACACCCCTGTTCCTTGAAATGCCTGTCGAGCGCACCATCGAGATGAAAGGCGCTCGTACCGTGCACGTGCGCACCGCGAGGTACGAGAAGCAGCGCGTCACCGTCATGCTAGCTGTGACGGCGGGGGGCTTGAAGCTCCCTCCCTACGTGGTCTTTCAGCGGAAAACAATGCCGAAGTTCCCCATTCCCCGAGGTGAAGTGTGACGTGATTGATGCTCTGATCTGGTCCGTCAAAAAATCCACCGCCAATGCCATTCTCCCTTGTGCAGGTATTGTCGTGCGAGCCCAGGAGAAGGGCTGGATGGATGAGAAACTTGTCCAAGACTGGACAACGCATGTTCTCGTCCCATTCCTGAAGCCGCTTCGTGAAGAGGAAAGGCAGCGCAAGGATGCGCTCCTCATCCTCGACTCCTGCCGAGGGCACACCATGGAAGCGGTCGGACAGACAATAATGCTGTTCAAACTCACGCGCGCGGTGATCCCTGGCGGTTGCATGTCGCTGGTGCAACCGCTGGACGTTTTGGTCAACCGCAGCTTCAAAGCCGGGGTTCGCCGCCGCTACTTCACGTGGTTCCAGGATGAGGGGATTGAGTCTAACACCCCTGCAGGTGAGCATGTCTCTTGATACCGTTTTACCGGTAATGATTGCCTTGCCCATGGTTTCCTCACTGCCCCTTTCTATGACCTTTCCTGCAGGGAATTTGAAGAACCCCCCCCCCCCCGGAGGCCTGGGACGACGTCCCAGAAGAGTTGGTGAAAAAAACTTTCATCACCTGCGGCATCTCCACCACCGTCAATGGGAGCGAGGATCATCTGATCCTCGCTCATCTCCGGGATAAGGCGGAGGTGGAGGTGCTGGAGGATGTGTGCGAGGAGGAGCTCGAGGAGCTCGTCCCCAACCCTTTCTACCCCGACCCTGCTGCCTCTGCGAGCAAGGACAGTGATGCAGAGCTAGTGGCGGAAGCTGGAGAGGAGGAGGAGGACTCTGTGGAGGATGGGAAGGACTCGGAGGAGGAGGAGGAAGAGGAGGAGGAGTACGAGGAGCACGACGAGGAGGAAGGTGAGGAGGATGACGAGGAGGATGAGGAGGAGGAGGGTGAGGAGGATGGTAGTGTGGTCGCGGAGAAGGTGGGGGCTGGAGGGGGGTGGGAGGATGATGGCGAAGAGTGGTGGGCAGAAGGCCGATATGATGGGGAGGAGGTGGAAACGTGGGTTGCTGGTCAGGATGACGATTAGGTGCCTGTGCATGTGCGTAGATGGTTCTGATGTCTCTAGATGAACATGCAAAATGACAAATTTTCATTCCTTTTGCTCACAATGAGTAGTTTTCTAGGGGGTGGGGGGTCTTATAATGTTAGGTGCCAATTAGGGGGGTAGAACTCAGATAGAATTGAATAGCATACTCCCCACCTCCCCCCCCCTCCCCGTATTATAGACCCGGGGGTCTACAACTGGAGGGGGTCTTATATCCGGGGGTTTACAGTAAGTCATACATGGGCCATGGATGGACCACAGTGCTACATTCGCGGAGTTCTATTGGCAGTGAAGCTCCGAGCAGTGAAGATGTATTGATGTGATCGTTCATTGAATCAGAAGATAACTTCATTGGCTTATCGAAAGGCTCGTACAGTTATCCCTAGCAGTTGCTTACGGTACTAGGCGCGATCATCTACAGGGATAACAAACCTAAAATGATAATCCCTGCACAGCCAAGGGCTGGCGCCCATAAAAAGGTTGCCGGTGCCAAAGGTGTACGGTACAGTGTAGCTGCAGGGGAAACAGTGAAAGTGAAAGACATGCGCTTCAGCAAAGAGTATTCCTTCCACACGAATTGCAAATGGGATCAATCGAACACGATAGCGTACCGGTACTTTTGGCCAAGACCAGAAATCTGGAATAGCTTTTTCGCCTTCTTAAAGTTGCAGCTTTTGAGATCCTCTTTCGTCTGAAACCGATATAGAGCCTTCTTAGGATCAGCTCCGAGGTTTTTAAACACTGTGGCAAGGGAGAGAGTGAGGGTGAGAGTGAGTGTGTGTGTGTGTCTGTGTGTGAGAAAGAGACGTAAGGGCAGGAAGACCCTTCTGAGGTGCAACTCCTAGGTTATAAACACTGTGGCAAGGGAGTGACAGAACGTACTAGTCGTCTTAGGCACTGGGCCAAAGAGAGCAAAACCAGAATTAAAGAGAGAGAGGGTGAGTGAATGAGTGAGTGAGTGAGTGAGTGAGTGAGTGAGAGATAGAGTGTGTGTGCGCCCGTGCGTGTCTGTATGTGTGTGTGAGAGGGAGAGAGGGGGGGTTGGGGAAGGAGGGAGGTGAGAGGAGAGAGGGAAGAGAGGGTTACCGTACCGATAATGTCAAACGGCTTGGGAATATAGTTCCCACGCCAATAACTTCGCAACGTAAAGTTCATCTCAAATGTCCTCTTCACCTGCAGCATGCAGCACAGAAGACGTTAGGTTTGATTGGCAACACTCAGAACGGATTGAACACACACGGCAAGGGGGACGTTAGGATTGACAACACCAAGAACGTTAGGAAGACCACGCCAGTCACCTAACCCACGCCAGTCACCTAACCCGCGCCAGTCACCTAACCCACGCCAGTCACCTAACCCGCGCCAGTCACCTAACCCGCGCCAGTCACCTAACCCGCGCCAGTCACCTAACCCACGCCAGTCACCTAACCCACGCCAGTCACCTAACCCACGCCAGTCACCTAACCCGCGCCAGTCACCTAACCCGCGCCAGTCACCCAGACCACGGCACGCCATAAAGTTCATCTCATATGCCTTCACCTGCAGTACATGGCAAGGGGTATGCTAGACCTCGTAGCACCTTTGAGGCGCACCAAAAGAGTGTGGCAAGGTATGTTGGGCCCGAGAAGAGAAAACACAGAATAAAGGACCACGCTGGTCACTTGGTGACTGGTAAATCTACTACACCATCTCGCACAACTTCGCACCATCTCTCACCCACTTTCACCCATCTTGGACCCTCGCACCATCTCGTCACCTCGAAGCTAAGACTGTCGAGAGCATGCGCACACACCTTGGCAGGTTCAACGCTCAGAGGGTACATTCCCCTTAGGGATAATCAAGGAGTGTTTATTACGGATTGATGTGTTTCACCATTGTTATGCCATTGTTTTCGCTGGTTAGTTATGATTTTTTTGTATTGCAGTAAAGTGCACTATAAGAAAACGAATAACACACTACGCAAGCCTTGCGATGGTTGAACGTAGAGTCTTGTCTCTCATCTCATAGCGCGTGGATGGCTCGTGCCAACCAAGTAGACGGACACGATTGCAAGCGTTAATGATGTGGACAACTGTAACCGCATCGGCTCGGAAGGAGCCATGCGATGCGATCCGGCGATCCTACTCCACTATTTTCCTGCAGTAAGGTTGCATCACGTGATGCCGTGATCGTCGGCGCGACCCATCAACAAACGCTCGCGGTGGCGAAGTGGGAAAAATGGAGGGGGGCTGGAACGGGGAGGTAGTATCGTGGACGAATCACGAGCATGTTGATAGGGGTCCGTCCCGCCGCGACCAGATTTATGCAAGCGCGGTGACAACTCGATCTGACCGCTCCGCACGCCGCTCTCACAACGCTCAGAGGGTACATTCCCCTTAGGGATAATCTAGATGCAGGTTTGCAACCGTGCGGTTCGGTAACCGTACGCGGTCCGGTAACCGTTTGATTTTTATATATATATATATATTTTTTTTTCGCGGTTTTCGTTTTGAATTCTTCCTGCTTATGACAGTCTTCGATAACTGTCTTGTCGCTTGGTCTTTCGTCCTCGCTGCAGTCATCTTCGCGTTAAGGATTCGTTACTTATGAATGTTTGTTCAATTCCATATCGTAACACTCCCCTTCATTCCTGGAATAGCGAAGTCTTGATGCGCTTGGTTATGCCGCAGATGTCTCCGCATTGGTGGTACTTCTGACATGGCAGCTTCTTGGTGAGGAAATCAGCTGCCATGGGGCAGTAAGTCAAGATGAATTTGCCTTTGTCAACTTCGTCTGTGACGAAGAGATAGATGATTGCGATATGCTTGGTGCGGTTGACGAAGCCAGGCTTGTTCGCGATTTTGATCGCGCTCTGGTTGTCGCCTCCTGGAGTAGCTCCTGGAGGTAAAGTCCTTCGCGAATGGCTGACGTGGCGTCGATGATTTCGGCTTTGGCAGAGGAGAGCACCACCATTTCTTGCTTCTGGGAATTCCAGGAAATGGGGCCGGTGGGCTCGAGGCGGAAGAGATGGCCGGTTTGGGACCGCCGATTTGCAGGATCGGCAGCGTGATCTGCGTCCACGTATCCAACGAGGCTGAAGGAGCGAGTCATGAGGGTGGAGTAGGTGAGGGCAACGTTTGGTGTGGGGATAAAGTATTGCAGGGCGCGCTGTAGATCCAGCATGTGCTCCTCTTCAGGGCGCTTGGCATACTGAGCGAGTTGACTTGAGACGTATGACAAGTCTGGCATGCATGTCACAGCGGGAAGAGAAGGCAGTCGAGTAGCTGCTGGTACAGCTGGTATTCGGTAGGGTTGAGAGGGGCGGTGATGATGTTGGTATATGTGGTTGGGGTGCGATAAGGAGTGCAGAGGTTGGTTGGCTTGATGCTGAATTTGGCGGAGAGAGTTCCAGCGTACTTGGCGGCGGAAAGATGGATGGCGTCGGCAGCGTAGGAGATGTTGAGACCCAAGAACCGGGTCACCGTATTGTTGCTGGTGATTTCGATGCGGTTGCTGAGATTTTTCTCGAGCTGAGCGAAGAGGTTGTTGCTGGTGCCGGTGTAAAGGAGATTATCCACGTACGCCGCGAGGAGGATGTAGTCGCCTCGGTAGTGGTGGCGGTACATGCCGGGATCGTGGTCAGTTGGGTGAAGCCAATGTCGAGGAGAATTTGATGAAGATGCTGCTGCCAGAGTCGTGGTGCCTGCTTAATGTCGTAGAGAGATTTTCGGAGCTGACACACGCGATCGTCACCGTCGTCGTACGTGTGGGGTTGCTAGACGAAGATGAGGGCATCCACGGGTGCATAGAGGAAGGCGTTTTGAACGTCGATCTGACGGAGTGGGAGGTGCTTCGCGGCGGCGATGGCGAGGAGGATGCGGATGGAGGTGTGACGGCTGACAGGTGCGAAGGTCTGGTCGAAATCAGCGCCATGATGCTGATCAAAGCCTCTTACGACCCAAAGTGCTTTGAAGCGCTTGATGGTGCTGTCAGCAGCGGTTTTGACACGGAAAACCCACTTGCCCGAGAGTACGCGTCTCCCCTTCAGCGCTGTGCGGTCGGTGAGAACCCATGTGTTACGGGCTTCGAGCGCGGTGACTTCGGCGCCCATTGCACCATGCCACTCCTTGGTGTAGGGTCCAGTGAGGGCTTGGCGCGAGGTTTTGAATTCAACCGCCTTTGGTGGGCGGGAAATGGCAGTGTGAAGGCCGAGAATGTGAAGGCCGGAGAGGCCACAGCTGTGCCGCTGCTCGCTGGTGATTTCCACCACGTCATTGTCAGAGTTGTGGCCGCTGGAGGGGGTCGGGCTGAGGAGAGAGTCACGCGAGGAGTCGAGGGGAGCTTGGTCCTCGTCCTCGTCGTCATCGCTCCATGGGCGGGGACCATTGTGGAAATCCGTGTGGTCCTGTTCCGCGAGCGCTGCGTCTGCTTCGTCTTCAGGTGTGGCGAAGCTGCGTGGTGGGCGCTCGTATTCCGCGATGTTGTTTTCGCCCGTCAGCGTGGCGGTCGCACTAGAACTTGTGAATGGTAAGATCTTCGTAGAAGATGACGTCGCGCACCGCGACCACTCGTGAAGTATCGTGATCGAGGATGTTCCGGGCGTTGTGTTCGAGGTTCATGCCAAAGTGTACGCCACAGTGAGCTGTCAGAATATTATGCTCTAGCCTGTAGTGGGGTGCTCTGTAGCGAGTACAACCCTTCTAGGGTTTGCTATTTGTATCCCCATTCTTGCTAGTTCAGTCCTCTCTTTTGCCTTCATTCTCTCTTGCCTAGCTAGGTCAACCCTAGCTATGGCTCCTCAGTATACCTACTATCACGACATGGTATCAGAGCTTAACGTTCCTGGCCTGTGGGCCCACTTCACTGCTTCCGCTGCTACTGCTACTCCCTGTCCGCCGCGCGCCCCGTGGTGCGCGGCGTCGAAACTAGGGTTTTCAGCCCGCCGTGCGCCCCGAGGCGCGCGGCGGTTTTCTGCCCGCCGTGCGCCCCGAGGCGCGCGGCGG